CTGAAATCAATCTTATTAAAAGCACTTCATTCATGTTAATGTATTTTGTACACCCCTCACTGTATCATGGACTCTGCTCTCGATTCTTGGTGGCTTGGTGGTTCGGTCCGAGAATCTCGGCGCGAGTCCTTGCGTCCGTCTGCTCTAGTGTCTCCGCGCGTGCTAAAACTCATTTTTGAGGAGCGTGCGGCTTGGCGCGAGGACAGAGACGCCGCCTCGCTCTCCTCCAGAATCACGCTTGGAGCGACCGTATTCACCGATCTTCTGACGTTAGCGAGTAACGTCTGCTGTCCGTACAAAAGTCTGTGAAAGGCTTCATTGTATTCCGATATCAGTTCGTCACATTCCCCCTGCTGCTTCATCTTTTTACACAAACTCTCGTTCACTCGCGCCAGTTGAGCTGTAAGATGGAGAACATCGCTCTCCAGTTTCTGTTGTTCATCAGAGAGGGTCAGAATACTCCTGTGAACTTCATCCCTCTTCATTTTCATGTCGTCGATGCACTTGAGCAGTTCCATGTTGTACTTCTGGATAAAAGCATCCTCTTTGATCGGTTTAACATTCTTGTCTTTCTTCTTTCTTTGCTGTGATGCCATTTTTCTTACTTTGATATATAATTTGTCCTGAACCATTAATTTTTACGGATCCATTAAAATGAGACTATAAACATTCTTATCTAGGTATGGTCGCCTTAGCATCTGTCCAGAAAATAGCTATTGTGGCAATTGTTGTATTGTGCTTTTGAACATCGCTTATCTATACCATGTTTAAGGTTCAGTTCTTATCACCGTATATAACCATTTAAGTTGACAAACTAAACACCCTCATAGACGAAGCGATACAATCTCCATTCAGCTCCTTAAAGCCCCCCTTTTCAAGTTGCTTGGGACGGTTAAAAGCTACAGGTCTCAAGCACCAAACAAACAAATCCATTGTGATTGCTTTATTAACGAACGTTTGATTTTGTCAGCACAAGATTTTAATTGTATCCTCCTCGGGACTTAAAATTCAAATATTTGTATAACTCCATTACTGTTACAGAATATGAGTATTTATTTTATACCCAGGTGTCACTGTAATTGAAAAACGCCAGTGTACTTTCATAGTATGAATACGTGTGTGGGTTCTGCAAGGAAAATGGTAAACTTTTGGATTATAAACAACTTAACCACCCTTTTCCCCCTCCACTCATTCTCTCTCTTTTTTAAATTTAAATGTATTTTTAAATTATTCACTCTAAGATTATACCTAAAATACGAGTGTTTACATATATTTTAACAATTATATTTTTGTCTTAACTTTACATTACTTATTTGTTTAATGATTTAAAATTTAATATCAGCTTCATTTATAAAAATCCTAATTAAAATCAGGTTAAAAAATCGGAACATTGATTTTTTTTAAAATTGTCAACTTACTCTGGAGAAAAGTTGTACTACATTTGTAAAGTTGTAATACATTTTGAAATGATCAAGGTTAGTATGGATACATTTTGAGATGATCTATGTTGTTGTAGATACCATCTAGGTTCGTTTGGATACATTTTGTGATGATCTAGGTAGGTCTGGATATTTTATGATGATCTGGTTGATGTGGATACATTTTGTGATGATCTAGGTTGGTCTGGATACATTTTGTGATGTTCTTGATAGGTCTGGATACATTTTGTGATGATCTGGGTTGATATGGATAAAGTTTGTGATGATCGTGGTAGGTCTGGATACATTTTATGATGATTTGGGTTGATATGGATACATTTTGTGATGTCTAGGTTGGTCTGGATACATTTTGTGATGTTCTTGATAAGTCTGGATACATTTTTTGATGATCTGGGTTGATATGGATAAATTTTGTGATGATGGTTGTAGGTCTGGATATATTTTATGATGATTTGGGTTGATATGGATATATTTTGTGATGATCTGAGTTGATATGGATATATTTTGTGATGATCTAGGTTGGTCTGGACATATTTTGTGATAATTTGGGTTGATATGGATATACAAAATGTACAAAAGGATCGCGTGAAATCATGATGTATTAGTGGTGCTTATCATGTGTATAGCATTGTCTAAAATATTTAACTTAAAAATACGTAAATAGGTCTTCTGTCGCTCATTTTAATTCTCAATTCTTAAAAAAACGTGTGATTTCTGTGTTATTTTCTACAAGCGAAACACACAGGGGAATAATTTGTGAGTACATTTTTACGAGGAGATATACATAGGGTATATATATACGGATCCATAGAGTAAGCAGCTTATACGAAGATTTATATGAAACCTAGAGTGTTAACTTTCAAAAACAGTTGTTATAAATCGTACCCAGGTAACACTATAAGCTACATTCCCGAAAAAAAAAATGTCACGTTTTCAAACAATTTACAAGGTCACATGAAACGAAGTCAAGTAAGCTGAACCTATAGTTAGATTCTTTAGCTGGCAAACACCTAAAATATGTCAAGAGAGCGTTTAAAAGAGAGAATTGTGTGGATGAATGGCGTATAGCAGGAACAAATAGTTTGTAGACATCCTGTGTTCCATATTGTTATACTCTTTTCAACAACCTTTTAATTTAGTCTTTTCAAGATTTGAGCCCTATTATTATTTAGTACAAAACATTTACTTCCCTCCCCCACTCCCCATAAAGAATCCACGGATTTTTTAGCTACTACTCGAGTACGAGTATATATCACAAGGAATTGCTGAATCAATTGATATCTTTTAATACCCGATTTGTGTGGGGTAGAAAAACTGGACGTACTTTTAAAAAAAAAAATTGGGCATTTCATCTAACAAGCATTTTATAGCTAGTACTCATTTAATAAACCATTTTATAAGAGTATACAATTAAGTATTACATGGGCATGTACAGACTAAAGAGCACTATGAAGACAATTAACTGCGTTAAATATATATAAACTAGGAGGCCGAAACTAACATGAGTGTCCCATTAGTAATGTTGACTGGGTCATTCCTCCTACAGGCACGTAGCAACATGGGGGCCATGTGGGGGGGAAAACTCGTTCAGTCAAAGAATTATGCATATAATGTAACCATTTTCCCCCCAACATTACCTTACTATTGAAAATGTCCATTGAAAGGTTGGTTGCCTCCCCCCCCCCACTTCTTATCACAGTATAGTGATATCAAGGAAATGTAGTACTGTATGCAAAAAAAAATTGGAAGTGGAAAGACGTTGGCCTTGAAAAAAGTTGTCCACTACCCCCCCCCCCCCCCCCCCCACACACACACACACACACGCACGAAATAGGATTTTCGAGTTTGGGCAATTTCCTTTTTTTTTTTTTTTGCTTGTCAACTTTTACAGGTAAGTAAAAAAAAATTTCTCTGGTTGCCCCCCCCCCCCACTTTCAAAAACGATGCTACGTGCCTGTCCTATTCCAAATTAATTTGAAAAATCGGGCAATAAAAAGTAAAATCCCATGTGTTGTTCCATGTGGGAATAGGTAGAAAACTCATTCAGTCAAAGAATATTATGCATATAATGTAACCATTTTTTTAGGTCTCAGTTTACTCAGTGACCTATTGCTATCTGAGTGTGTTTGTCCGTCGTCGTGCGTTGTGCATTAATATTTGAACATTTTTAGCTTCTTCTCTGCAACCGCTCAACCAATTCCAATCAGTTTTGGGACTTTTGGCATTAGACATCAATGGGTGAAGGGTAACAATAATTGTTTATTTCATGGTCCCTGTCCCCCTTAGGCCTGAGGGTTGGAGCCAAAACCACTAAAATTAATGCAATCTCTAAAAAATCTTCTTCCTTACTCCTGGACATCAAGCCGTCAAACTGTTGGCATGGTTGTAGTTAATAAGCATTTGAAAAGTCCTCTACAAAAATTGTGAAATTCATGACCCCAGAATCAAGGTTTCTAGTGCTAGGGTGGGGCTATATAGATTATATAGTGAAATTCATTATTTCTTTGAAAATCTTTTTCTTTGCTCCTGGGTATTAATCAAACTAACTACATGTACATACATAACTAAAATGAGGAAGGGTGCCTCTTCCAAAATTGTGAATTTCATTGCCCCAGGATAAGGGGTACTGGTTTCATGGCGGGGCTATATAAAGTATATAGTTAAAATGCATTAATTCTTTGAAAATCATCACCTCTTCCCTGGGTATTAAGCAGATGAACCACCTATATATCTATGATGAGCAAGGGTTCAACTTCCAGAATTGTGAATTTCAAGAGTTCTGGTTTAAGGGTACTGTAGAGGGGGGCTCTAATTATATATTGAAAATTAATTAATGCTTTCAAATCTGCTCCTTGGTATAAATCAAACATTTATGAGCGAGGGTGCCTTTAAAAAAGTTGTGAAATGTGTGCCCCCAAGGTATTAAGGGGCACTACTTATTTTTGCTGACTATTAATGATTAGTTTAAAACTTGAAATGCATCTTTTTGTTTCCCTACTCTGCATGCCTATTGGTATTTTAAAAGTAACCAAACTAAGCATGCTACGTGTATAGTTATGATGAGCAATGGTGCTTCTTTCAAAATTGTGAATGTCATGGCCTCTGGTTTAAAACATGAACCAATTTGTATTGTTGGAAAACTGGTACATGATGCCCAGATGATCTATAAGGCCCATGTGTATGGAACGCCGTAACTGCCTTATGTGGAGAACTTTCATTATATGCTGGTACTTTGATATTATATGCTGGTACTTTATCATTTATATATGCTGATACTTTTTCATTATATGCTACCACTTTGTCATTATATGCTACTACTTTTTCATTATATGCTATTACTTTGTCATCATATGCTGCTACTTCATCATTATATGCTACTACTTTGTCATTATAATTATGCTACTACTTTGTCATGATGCTACTACTTTCTCGACTTGACGGAAAAGGCCGAGTGATGTTCCGATTGTTAGTGGATTGTTACGCAGTATCTTTATGACGTAATACATTTATGACATAGCTTGACGTCATAATAGATCTAATGTATACATTTTCCTAAACAGTGAGACGGAGAGAAGACGCAAAAAGAAGTGTAAATAGTAATGGCGAGATTTAGAGTATCATATAAATTGAATCCCGAATTTTTTGACATCAGTTCAGAGGACAAAACAAAAATGAGGGAGTTTGTGCCTAAAAGAAAGGTCCTGAAAACTGTTGGAAATATCCAAAGCATTATTACACACAATGCAGATGTAAACGACTTTTTGCCGCCCTGGGCGACTGAGAAATATTTTTGGGATCTGCACAAATATAAAATGGAAATGAGAGAATCTGGTGCATTGAATGCTGAATCGGAAGAAATCAAGGATTACATGCAAAGCATCATTGGAAGGGCTACAGAAATACTGAAAAACGAGAACATCTCTTTGAAGATGCTAGAACAAAAGCCAGTCATTGACAAGCAGGTCGAAGGGGAAAGTGATGAAACTGTTGTTCCTAAGGAAGACCTGGAGGAATATATCCAAAGCATCATTGAAGGCGCAAGAAAGATTGTAAAAAGCGAAACAGCCCAATTGAAAGTTTTAGAAATCAGGAAAGAGCACAAGCCAGACACTGTTAAGCAGATTGAAAGGAAGAGTGAAGAAACAACTGTTTCTAAGGAAGAATTAGAGGAATATATCCAGAGCATCATTGAAGGTGCAAGACAGATAGTAAAAAGCGAGACTGCACAATTGAAAGTTTTAGAAATCAGGAAAGAGCACAAGCCAGACACTGTTCAGCAGATTGAAAGGAAGAGTGAAGAAACAACTGTTTCTAAGGAAGAATTAGAGGAATATATCCAGAGCATCATTGAAGGTGCAAGAAAGATTGTAAAAAGCGAGACTGCACAACTGAAAGTTTTAGAAATCAGGAAAGAGCACAAGCCAGACACTGTTAAGCAGATTGAAAGGAAGAGTGAAGAAACAACTGTTTGTAAGGAAGAATTAGAGGAATATATCCAGAGCATCATTGAAGGTGCAAGACAGATAGTAAAAAGCGAGACTGCACAATTGAAAGTTTTAGAAATCAGGAAAGAGCACAAGCCAGACACTGTTAAGCAGATTGAAAGGAAGAGTGAAGAAACAACTGTTTCTAAGGAAGAATTAGAGGAATATATCCAGAGCATCATTGAAGGTGCAAGACAGATAGTAAAAAGCGAGACTGCACAACTGAAAGTTTTAGAAATCAGGAAAGAGCACAAGCCAGACACTGTTAAGCAGATTGAAAGGAAGAGTGAAGAAACAACTGTTTCTAAGGAAGAATTAGAGGAATATATCCAGAGCAGCATTGAAGGTGCAAGACAGACGCTTAAGAGCGGAATTACTGCATCAGAGGTTTTGGAAAACAAGAAAGAGCACAAGCCAGACATTGTAAAGCAGATCGAAAGGAAAAGTGATGAACCAACTGTTCATAAGGAAGATCTGGTGGAATATATCCAAAGCATCATTGAAAGTGCAAGACAGATAGTAAAGACCGAGATTGCCGCAACTAATGTTTCAAAAATCAAAAAAGAGATCAAGGCAGACATTGTCAAGTGGGTCGAAGGGAAAAGTGATGAAACTGTTTGCAAAGAACACGATGTAGAGATAAAAAGCCGGACAAAGTTCAGAATGGAAGAAATCACAACCTATCAAGAAAACCTCGAGAGAAAGCAGGAACTGCAGGCAGTTCATGAAAATTTGCCTAGGGTACAATCTGTCAAGAAACTGAAAGAATTTGATGACCATTGTGTACCCAGGAGGCTCTTTTTGTTTAATATCGAAAACTTGAAAGAAAATCCAAAGAGTGAATGCCCCAGGACCTCCACAGAGACTTGTCTCAATACCAGCTCTGTACAACATTCTGTTGTGGAATCAAGAGCGACAGAAGAAATGGTTGCTCCTAAAAGAAGAACATCTTTAAGAAGACGCATCCTTAAGTTCCTTGGATTTAAGTAATGGCAATTTCTTGCTGATTATACACAGAATGAAGACAATCAATATTTAACATGTGTGTTATAAAGTTTAACGTCATTGCTGGTAGATTCACAAATCCAATGTGAAACCTGCATGTGAAGAACGCTGAACACCTTTAAAGGATTAATTTTCAATATATGTAATACTTGCTACTGAGTATTTGATTTAAATTATTTCTTATCAATAAACTATTTTCAATCTTAAGAATTTTTTTTTAAAAAGGACCAAAAAGTTAGAGGAGGGTCCACGGAAACGGAAACGCAACAAACAAAAGATGAGACGAACGCATCTTGAATGCACGGTTTATTCAACAAAGAATTTGAAATGAGGACGAAGAGTACGAAATAGATTGACAAAATGCACCCAGATTGTTAAAAAAGCTTGATATGCCTAGCGCCATGACAAATTTTGTTTGTGATATGCACATGGTAATTTAAACGATAAATGTTAACTGATGCTGTTTTTTCTAACACACTATCAAATGTATAATGAAAATTTCAATAATTCTATCGCGTTTTATTTCCTAAAAACCCGAGAGCGTTGTCAATCTGCTGTTGGGAAGTGGCGGCGAACTAATATTTTTACTTGTGTACGTGCGTCTAGGACGGTATACTCAAATTCTTAAACGTACTCACAGGAGTTGTAAGAATGATTTCAAAACGTAGATCCATAAGGGAGATAAGCATACTGGATTGCGAACATTTCAGTTTTATCGGTGCACACACAGATAGCATTTTCTGCGCTCATCGTCCTCGTCGTTGTTTAGTTTGAGCTTCAATTATACATGTATATAAAATTCAAAATGACCAAAAAAATTTAATTATAAACAGAAATTGGGGTACGGTTGGAGGGGTGGGTGTGGTGGGGTTGAATATTTTTCGCTATACTATCAGTATACATGATTTCAAAACGCATTTGAAAGCCTTTTTCAATACTCAGTACCTAAAGTTTATTTTTACATATATATGATATTAAATACAGTCTGTTTATTATACATGTAGTTTTATTACACGTGACATGCTGGGCCTGGTTAATCAGATAAAATGAAGAAATCGTAGAATGCCCGATGATAATATCTTTTCTTGTGTTTCCACGACTTCTTTTCAGACCTCAATAAAAAGTCGGCCAATCCTTTAATTTGATATCAACAAAAATTAAGGTAGAAGAAACATGAGTGTGACACCTGTATTTTCTTCTTAAATTGAGCCTTAAAGGTAAAAAAAAAGATAATTGTCATATGTATGTTTATATTCAAAGGTTGTTTGAGGACGGTGAAATATGTGCATGTCGGTTTAAATAATCTGTTCATCTTGCATGCAGCAAATATCCTTCTACTGTTCCATAAAATATGCTATTCATATAAACCTTGCAATACAATTCAAAATTAAATAAAAATGTGAATAATAAATGAATTTAAACTCATGTAAATGATTTAAGTCCCTGTGTAGTTTGAATTTTAGCTTTAATATTTTTGAAATTAAAAGTTCAAAATCGCTCATTTATGTGAAATGAATGAAATTTATTCCAGGGAGAGAGAGAGGGAGAGAGAGAGAGAGAGAGAGAGAGAGAGAGAGAGAGAGAGAGATTATTGTATGAAGAATTCAGTTTGGAAATAAAATTCAGCTGAAGAATTTTAGTCGTTTCATAAGTAAGTTTCGTAAAATAAATGAGTAGGTTTAAATTTATATAAATTTACATGTCCAACGTAATTAAAGATTTAATTCAAAATACATGTATACACTTGTACCGTCTTCAAATTTCGCTTGTTAAAAATTTAAATGTACAGACAGTGTTAAGATTTCATTAGAGATCGATTATCTGTTAAAATTTTGTTTGATGTAAATAAACAGATACATATTCATCAGATATGAATAAATGTTTCATAAAATATTATTTGATATATACATGTACACGTATATATATATTGGCATAGTGTTTTAATTGGGGCAGTAAACTTACGTCCATGCGTTCTGTGAATCAATATTTTTGCTTGCAAAATATACGGTTAAAGACTGAGTTTCCTATCTAAGAAAGATCTCTAACATCCGTATTTTTTAAGAAAGATACGTGAGAAATATCTTTATTTCGTCCTCTGAAAAAATAAAATTCATTTATATTTTTTTTTGGTGTATTTATCTGCAAAATCTACGCAATACTCTTTACAGCAGCAAATTAAGATATATTTAGACACTAGGTGAAATTGATAATCCTTCACATATGCAAGATAAAAAGCACAAGTTTTCTGAGTCCGATTACCAAAGATTTCGGGAAAATTCGTACTTCTCGAACCCAAGGCAAGGGTTAGCCAATCAAAATGAGGCTTACATGTTTACATTACTTACTAGGGCTATTAAGTTCGTCTATATGTTCATTACTTCAGATGCTTCATGTAAATCTAATATGGTTGCTAATTTCAAACCTATAGAAACGGAAAGTAGTCTGCATGGACTGTGGATTCCCCCAATTACAGGTAAAACAGAATTATTTAAAATTACTTTTTAATTAATTTGCTTCTCGTAACCTGTTAAGTAATTCATGTCGTCTGTCAGTTAAGAAGTTATGCTCATTAATTAGATATAAACAGTTATTGCCATTTTTTTTGGTCCATGGATTTATATAAAAATTCACTTTTAAAGTCAGTGCTGGATTTGTATGGCAAAAATCAGTATGCACAACAATGATTGTATAATTACGGACTAGTGCAATTTAATTTGATTTTCATTACGATTTCTTTTTATTTACGAGTATCTCGAATTTTAACTGCATTTTGCAACTTTAAAAAAAGAATACATTAAAACTTGTGAATACCTTAAATATTTGAATCAGTAAGACTAAACTTCGCCAAAAGTATGCGGCAGACGGGCCGCATGTATATAATGTGGCGAGTTGTTTATACGAACTGGACAGCGATCAATGCCATGTTCAGGGGGCATGCAAGGTTTGTGAACTCCGTCCCGTGGCCGCTCATACAATTTGAATAACTAAACGATTAAAGCAATCTTCTATTGTTACATTGAGGAAATGGACGTCCAAGAGAATTGGTCGCTTGAGGAAGAAAGATTGACATTTTAAAATAAAAATTTAATTATCAGACCAGCTTATTGATAAACAGGCAATGATTTATTAACTAATTCTCAGGACGTCGCTTTCCATTTATTGTATACAAATGGACTTTGGTGTTGGATTTTCTCCATAAACGTATTGGTTAAGGGGTATTTAATTAAAGGTAAAATATGCCGATACTACCATGTATGTGACGGCCGTTTATATCAGGTTATGTAATTTGTCTTGTTTTTACATGCCTCGGTCCGTTTTTATCGCTTTTTAAGTGTAGTCCGCCATGTTACTTCATCCAGACGGATCAATCAGCTAATCCGGTCTAACGAGGTTTTCGTAATTAACACTCCGACCCGGAAACTGCAACCAGCTGTAAATTTAAAAAGATCAATTTTTAACCCCCCTCCTTATAAAACTTAACTAAAACCTTGATTATCTTCTTTATTTCATACCGATATATGTTGTGTAGCATGCTGATGTTGATGTCTTATATTTGCATAAAATGTAAATTTGTGATGCACTCTCTGACCTTTCACAACTCCTTTTAAATAACACAGTACTGTAATCTATTATGATTATTAAGTTAAAATTGCTTCATTTGAAATTGTTGCAACATTATACCCTTGTCATCAACACGAAGAATTAAACATTTCTGAAATGTTTTTTTCTTTATGTCAAAGTTAACCTCTTCCTTTCCAAATCTCTCTCTATCTCTTTGTGCTGGTACAATGGATTATTTCGCGAACAATTGGTACAAAGGCACATTCTTTCTGGCTATCTACATGAATATTTCATTTGACACCTTATCTATTGGCTTTGGCCTATTGACTTTGTTTGTCGCCCTTGGCTAAGGCTCTTAATGATGCCGTTTTTTACGAATGATTATTCGGAATGGCATCATTAAACAAAAGTTGAAATTTTATCATGACAATAACAGTTTATAAAATATTTGATTATATGTTACCAAGGAATGGTTATCCTATAAATTGATATCGATTAATACATTTTACGACAGGCCAAATTATTCTGATCAAAGCGTAGGAGGCAGGAAGAATATGCTTTGCACGTTAACATCCGTGGAGATATATTCTTAATGATTTATTTCCGAAGATATTTTTACTTTCAATCTAACCATTACCAGGAGATAATTCGGAGCTTCGGGATGAAAGTCTAGTTGGAATATGATCGCCGACAAGAGATTATATACAAGCAGAACAGAAAAAAAGTATACGTGGATAGGCATAAATTGGTTTCAGTTGTTCTCTTCTATTCCTGAAGATAAATGAAGTTGACAGAAAGTAGGACGGGAGGCATTAGGTACAATGTATTGTAAATTAGATAGCTATAGAGGTTTCTCGTGTTACGTGAAGGCATTCTAATTTATTGAAGTCTTCTCTGTTGGTCTTTTCTAGGTTTACGGGAAAAAAACCTTAAAGTCTGGAACTTGTAAAATTGATATTTAACCACGAAACAAGATCTGTATAGTCTTTATATAGTCTTATGATAATATTAAAAGACAATTGATGGTACGTACCCATACAACTTTAGTCGCCGGCGTGGCGTAATCGTCTGCTCTAGGGTCGCAGAGTAAGGAGTCAATTCTTACGTCGCTGGTTCGAGTCCCACTGTGGGGCGTGGAGACCGGTTCTTCGGATGAGACCGCATAAACCGAGGTCCAATGTCACAGTAGTTGCCGGCACAAAAAAGATCCATCATTGCGAAATAGCCCTGAGTGCAGAGTATAGGACAAAATTTGCAGCTCTCCACCGGCAAATAGCGGCGTCTCCGTATGAGTGAAAAATTCTCGAGAGGGACGTTAAACAAGAACACATACATGCAAACGTAGAACTCTAAAGAAGGGCGCCGCAAAGCGGAGCATCCCTCGCAAAGAGTACAATAACATGTATCTATATCAAGGCAGCATT